CATATATAATGACAATTTAAAAGCAACTTATGTTCAAAAATGACATTTGATCATATATAGATTTTGCATTTGAGGAAGGATATTTTTTTTTTAAATCCCTCCCAAACTCATTTTAAAATTTTAGAAGATTCCTTTGAATTTTTGTGTAATGATGGGATTTTAAAAGAAACTTAATTTTACCAACATGCCCTTCTCGAAATTTTCCACCAAACTATTGTTTACATAATTTTAATAGTTGTGAGGTAAATTTGTTGTAAAACATTTTGGAGTAGGAAATTTTAAGTTCGCCATTAGTGGAATCCACGTGCTTCGAATAAGTTAGAATGTTTTTTAAAAGGGTGTGGTTTATATAAAGTTGCAACCTGAAACCATCAAAGTAAGGTCCATCATCAAATTTTATCGTAAGATGTAATTTTAGCATAAAACATTCATAGGATGTCGTGAGAATTTATTTTCATCTCTAATTATAAAATTTTAGACTAAAAAAATGGTTCAAATAAAGTATATTTATGAAAACTTGAGAATATTAAAAATGGATGGTCCAGATAATATGTTACAAGATCTACTATTTTTGGGACTCAAATTTTTTTTTTTTGCATATGCATACCTCTCGGTGTGGAGATAATCAATTTGAGGGTTTTCCAACTTCAAAATAGTCTTTTATGATGGATTTTTTAAGTGCACCTTAATTCTACATTTTAAGGTTGCAACCTTATATAAATTTTTTCTTTCTAATGAATTCTAGTTTTGTATATTCATTTTAAGTAAAATACTGCTTAGAGTAGTGCAATACATAATGTTTATTGTGCTGATTTATTGTGTTGCTAGCTCAATTTGTGTGATAAGTTTACGTGTTAACCATGAATGGCTCTAGGGAAATGCAATAGTGAAAATTTTGTACCATCAGAACATGTAAGAACAATCAATTTTTGGATACTATGTCCAAGGCTTGAAATCTATTTTTTCTCATGTTCATGCATCTTGAGGTCAAGATGATTGGTTTGAGTATTTTTGGGCATCAAAGCATCCTCTTCTAGTGAATTTTTGAGATGTGCTTTAATTTGATCGTTCAGAGAGTCGCCCTTATATAAACTTTTTCCTTCTAAGATTCCATATTTTCCTGCGATTTTTTCATTAAGAAAAAGCTTAGGCGTTGCCGACAACCTTTAGATAGTTCGATCTCCCTATCAGATCACCTTGTAATTAGAATTCAACAGGACCCACTCATTTTTAATTAAGTGAATTAGTGCGAATTTTGTATGAGATGTAATGTACATTGGTGCTAGATTCCACTATAGGCAAATGGAGGCCAATATGTGGAATTCTAGAAGCGTCCACACCAGTGATCACACCCCGTCTCTAGGGACTTCTTGATTCTACATGGAAGACGGACTCATGCACAAATAATGTGGCACAAAGTCTATGTGTATGGCGATGCTTCGAGGTTATAAATAGGGGGCTTTGGTTGGAGCTTAGGCATCCAGTGATCGAATGATCAAGATCAAGTGGTATTAGATAGGAGTCTAGTAAGACAAAATGAGGAAGTAGGAGTGAGAAGTAAGGTGTCTAGTTTTGTTAGGCCCGAGAATTTACATGGTTTTAAATCTGAATTTTGAACTTTATTTGGATCTGGGTTTGGATTCAATATTGTGATCAGACAAGTTGGATCCGGATCTAAAATTTGGATCTGAGTAGTATTTTGCGGCGGATCTTTGTACAGGTAGATCTGACCCAATTATTCAAATATTATATATTAATTTATATGTAAATATAAATATTATATAATAGTTTTTTCTATATATTATTTTTTATTATTTTATAACTATAAAATAATTGTTTTAGATTTGATTAGATCAAGATCTGGATCCAAATCTCATGCATATGTTTTGTATCTGGATACATATCTGATCGAAGCTGCATCTATATACCGATTTTTTATATATTTTTTGGATTTAAATCCGAATCCTAGTACATCCAAACCCGATCCAACCCATTATCAGCCCTGAGTTTGAAAAGTAGAGTGAGAAAGAAAGGATGATTGGGGTGTGATAAGTGGCATGAGAGAATGAATATAATGTATTAAAAAGAGTTTAATTAATGAAGAGAGAGTGCGTAATGGGTGTTTTATTTATAATGTCATGAGTATGTAATGATTACATATAAATAAAGTGAAATATTTTATGTGGTTCTCTCTCTAGGCTGTTGTAGTGTGATTATTTTGTAGGAATTTGGCGCATATTGTAGTGTGATTATTAGCTAACGCTCCTAAATTATAGTTTTGTAACCATGGATTTTTGCACTCTGTCATGACTTAATGAGTAATGAATTTATCATGCCATGCAGGGAAATGGAAAAAGAAACATAAAATAATAATATTGATTGTTTTACACTGTTGAAGTAGCATATTTTCAAAGAAAAATATAAGTAACCAATCCAATCACCTTTAATACAGAAGAACTTGTAGCCACTATTGCTCAAAATAAGTAGGCACTATTGCTCAAAATAAGTAGAATACTGTTTTCTTTTATCATTATTTGGCTTTCTTCTCAATCCCAGCATGTTCTATCTCTTGCTTCAATGATTCCACAATTGCACAGAATTTCTCGAAGGTAGAGGTCATTTCGCTCATCTGATCATGGACTGAGGATTCTGATGGACCTCGAAGAACCCTTCGAATTTCCTTAAACTCCTTCCAATACACCTCAGCAACCTGTTGCGTTTCAAGAATAATGTGGATAATGGCCTGGAATGGAAAATAGTGCACTCCCATTAGTTATATCAATTTTTGGGTTAGTTATTTGTTGGTGGAGAATTTGATGCTTGCTAGTTCAATCACTAAAATGTTTAGCACCTAAAAAAAGAAGAAAAAAATGAATATGAGGTGCCATTTGGAAAAATTTGAGACATCTACCACAAAATAAGTATGAGGTTATGTTTTGAACTTATTTAGGAGTGCAGGGATAACCAAGTAAGAAATTCAAACCAAAAAGCTCTATGTTTTTCTTTTACCAAAGTTATCAAATTTGATTGCTAAAATTTAGACCAGAATTACATCATTCAGGACCTCTTATGGCTAAACCATTGGCAGTACCATTGGCCTCCCTATATATATGATGGAAACATATCGACCGCATCTCTGCCAAATCCATCACTTGTCCCCAAATTAACCAAAGCATCTAAGGAACTCTTTGCTCTTGTCATGTTTAAAGAATCCTCTTCCAACATGATGAAATTCTCTAGATTCATATATTTAATGAACAATAGTCATCTGAGCAAAGTTATGAATTCTGCAAGCTTGGCAGTTGCATAACCAATAGGTCCTGCATAAGAGATAATAATTGACCCACTCCAATCTCGTATTACTCCTCCAATACCTGCTTCGCCTGGATTACCGAGAGAACTGTCAACAAAGTTTAACTTTAAGCACCCTTGAATAGGAGGTAATCATCGACCTACAGGCCTTGTCCTTACCATATTAGAGAAAGCAAGGTTCACTAAGTTTAACCTTACATCAATCTCAGTGATAACCCTACCTTCTTAAGTGACAGAAAGCCAGGTCCAAGTGGTATGGATTATATGCTGAGTACAATCCCTTCAAAGGCGCGTCGATTACGCTATTTCCACATCTCTCAACACACTGCCCTTCTAATTATTTGCCACAAGATAGATCCCAACTTCGATAAGGCTACAAAGACCAGTTGTGATATAATACCCAGCATATCCCGAGGTAAAGCCACTCTGAATCCTAATATATTTAGAAAGAATTCCCAAATTTTCGAAGCAAAGTGACAATGTACCAAAAGATGTGAAACAAATTCACCATCTTCTTTGCACATCAAGCAAACATTGGGCAAGACCTTACCTCTCTTGATAAGATGGTCTATAGTCAAAATTTTATTTTTCCCAGCCAACCAAATAAAGCACTAAACTTTATGGGGTATCGGCCACTTCCATACTTGTGCAACTTGTAACAAAGATCATCTGTGGCGATCATGGAACAGTATGGAATACGTCGCTTTCACCGAGAACCCATCCTATTTATGCTCCCATACCATCTCAACCGCAATACTACAAGAAATAACTACTTTCTGCAGTTGCGATAACAGTAATGTTAATTGCACCAACATGTTCTCTTGAATTCAGTTATGTGGAAACTGAATATTCCATACCACTTGCTCCCCTACTAGTTTGTAAGTGTCAGTTATCAAGGCATTAGGATTATAAACTTTAGCAAATAAATCAATGAATGATATCTTCAGTGGATAGTTACCTATCCACTTTTGATGCCAAAAAGAAACTTGAGATCCGCTCCATACACACCATCAGATATCTCTATGAAGATAAGGTTTACATAAAAAGATATCTCTCCAATAAATCGACCTAGATGCACTTCTTCTATCCCCTCCAATCCAAATACCAAAGCCATCTACACAATATTTTGCTATAAGTACCTTACACCAAAGATGATGTTTGAAGAATAGACTGCGCCACCACTATTTAGTTAATAAAGCTTCATTCATAAAAAACATTCTTCTAATGCCTAGGCCCCCTTCACATTTTGGGGTGCATACCTTATCTCATCTCAACAAGTGGTATTATTTATCCTCCCCAAAGGAACCCTATAAAAAATTACGCATCATCATTTCGATTTTCTTGACTACACCCGATGGCATTTTCAAAAGGGACATTTGATAAATAGGTAATTTTGCCATGCAGGATCTCAACAAAGTCACTCTTCCCCTAATAGAGAGATATTTCGGCTTTCATAAATCCAATTTCACTTGAACACTCTAAATCACTTTATCCCAAATTGAGATAGGGAGTAATGCATAAAAAATTGGCAGCCCTAAATATCGGGAAGGTATCGACTTTACATCCAAGAGTCAGAGCCAACTCCCCAACCATATCCTCACTACAATTGACCCCAACTAAAGATGTTTTTATAAGATTAACTTTTAACCCCACAGCCAATTCACAACACTTTAAAAATATGGCAATATTCTCAATATATCCCTTCTTTGCGTTTGTAAATATCAATGTGTCATCTGCATACTAGAGATGAGAAATAATAGGTCCATCCTGACCAATAGGAAAGCCCGAAAAGTTACCCCTATTCACCACATTACTAATCATAAGACTAAAACACTTTGCATAGATTGTGAAAAAAAAAGGTAATAAAGGGTCTCCCTGATGGAGACCTCTAGAGGCTTTAAAAAATCCTTCTGGGCAACCATTAATAAGCACCGAGAAGTACGCAGAGGATAAACAACCATAAATCCAGTTATGCCATTTCACCCCAAAACCCATCCTATTCAAAACTTCTAAAAGAATGCTCCACTCAACTCTATCATTGGCTTTTCCCATATCCAATTTGATCACCACACCTGGTTCTTTACTTTCAACTCTTGAATGGATTTATTCTTGAGCTACAAACACACTACTAATCAACCTGTTTTGGATAAAGGCTGCTTGACGTTTAGAAACCACAAAATTTAGCACCTTCTTTAGCTTTATCGCGAAAATCTTAGCAATAATTTTATACAAGCTACTCAACAAGCTGATAGGACTAATATCTGAGAGTTCCATAAGAACATATTTTTTAGGGATTAAGGAATAAAGTCGAGTTTACCCCCTTAAACAATTCCCCTCTTATCAAAAGCTGCATACCATTCCCAATAGTTCCCTAGAGAGCATAGACCAAAATCTATGAAAAAAGCACATAGAGAAGCCATCTATCCTTGGTACGTTATCCCTTGCTAAAGAAAAAACTGCAACCTTCAACTCCTCCATTGACACACCCACCTCCAACTTAGCAACCAAGTCCACAGAGAGGACTTTAAATGGAATGCGATCAATTCTAGGGGTAAAGCATACTTCCGAAATGACAGTATTACAGAAGTGTTCTACGACAGCCCGATCACAGCCATTATTATCATCCTGCTCAACCTCTTGGATAGATAAACCAGAGATGTCATTTTGCTTCCTACGAGCACTAGCAATAACATGAAAGAACTTAGTATTCAAATCACCTTCCTTGAGCCATTTTAATCATGAACTCTATCTCCATTAGACTTCCTCAAACCTACGGCGTTCATTCAGGGAGTTAACCTTTTCGATTCTAGATAGAACAGTTTGCTAAAAAATCACCCCATCACTTTGCATAGCTTGATCAATCCTCTGAATTTCTTCCAACACACAATTAATTTTGACACTTAACTAGTACTTGTTTTCCTTACTCCATCGAATTAGCTTATGGTTAACATTAAGCAATTTTTTGTGTAATTGAAAATCTAAAGAACCATAGGTGATAGTATTTTCCCAAGTTGCTCTAATGAGATCCCCAACCCCTTCTCCATCCAACCATCCTATCTCCAATCTAAACAGCTTTGGACCACCCATGGAGTTACTTGAACTCAGTAATAACGACATATGGTCAAAAGACAATCTAGGCAAAGCTTTCACAGTAGCCAAAGGAAAAAATTCCAAAAACTCAATAAAGACTAAAAACCTATCGATCTTGGTCAGTTTAGAGACCAAAAAGCTCTATGTTGTGAGATCAGAAATTCGTCACGCATTTTTCATAATTCAAAAAATAAAACTTTTGCCTTGGAATATTTTTGGAAAAGTAGAAATAAAAAATATACTTCCACATAGGTCTAAAAAATTAGTAGGTTGTGAGCAATATACTCCAATATCAACAACGAATGGTAGAGTACTCGTGCATCTTTCCCAGAGATAATCTCTAATTGTGCAGCGAGTAAATTCAGTTTGATAGGTGGCCTAGAATATTGATGATTCTCTAATTGTGAGGCGAGTAAATTCGGTTGGATAGGTGGCCTAGAATATTGATGGTTGACATTAGGAAATGTCTTAGAGGGGGAGCAAGTTAAGGAAACAATCATGATCTATAATCTCACTAGCATGATGGTAGCAAATCCCATGACTAGGCCTATAGCTTGAAAGAAGTACAAACACATGTTAAGGGATTGACTAGGCCTATAGCTTGGAAGAAGTACAAGCTCATGTTAAGGGATTGGAACCGCGGAGTCCCTTGTTGGTTTTTTTACCATCATCATTGTATGTGTCTTCCTATACATGAATGTTCTTTTGGACCAAATTTTAGCATTTATTTGAGAGATTTATCTTAAAATGGCTTTGTCGATGCACATACATGTAGTTTGATTACATATTCACACTTGTGCAACATGATGCATTTTCATTGTGAGAAAAATCATCGACGGGCTTGGTCTGCTTTTTTGTATAGTAGTGACCACCATCAAACTCAGGGATATTGAAGGATAAGACACACATGTGGTGTGTGATTAATCTCCTTGGTAAGAGATCAAGTGGAGATTCCATGGTTGAGAATCTATAGATTCTAAATGGCATCGCAGGAAATCATATAGCCTATAGGCTAGCTCAGTGTGAGCATCGAGAATACTTAGGTTGGTCAATTGGACGCATCATTGTGCTGATTTTAATAAAATGCATAGCTATGGCTGAATTAATACCTACGTGGTGTAAACTCGATTTAGATCATAGTATTATTTATCATTTACATCGTGACACATGACTCAAACCACACATGCAAAGCGAGATTGCTAGTATTTAATAGAGTAGCCTGTAATGCAGTGAACATAGGTGTCCATATAGATGCTGAGATTCTATTAGGAAAATGGAGGGTCAATATCTCTATTTTAGCCTGCATTTCCGTGGTAGGAGTAGAGCTAGGAATGCAATTAG